TAGTTTCACATTGATTTTTATTTTGTTTTCGTCCTTTACTGATCTTCCTAGTGAATTTTTTATAAATTTCATGATGGAGTCATGCTCTACCACAGTGCTCAAGTTTTATGAGTATATCAGTACGGCTATTTTTCTTGTTTGTTGTCCAGATCAATTTAGCGGCGTACACACACAGGCTGACTTAGCTCTCAGAACCGATTCACTTTACACCAAATCTGCCGTTTGAAAATCGTTCAGTTCATTGTGAAAATTCAAAACGATGACCTCTAGAAATCTATACTATCCTCATATTTTGTCTCTAATCTATCCGATATCAGAAATAATAGTCAAAAAAAGCAATCAGGATAGCTTCATGGTATATTTATATGTATACGAGCTAGGAATGCTAGCTGACCAGAAATCACCAGTGCTTCAAGTGTTTGATTTCCAATTATTTCTTTTATTTTTATGAGTTGATAACGGATTGATATCAGTTACAGAACCATTGAAAACCATCACCAGGAAGTACTGGACAGGCAGCTGTTTCATCCTAGTAGATTGGGAAACATCGGCAGTACGCACCCACTGCCACAGTTCGAACCCAGGACTTTCCAGTTACAAGGCAATCTTGTTTACCATTCAGCCACTGAGTCCATCCAGATATCACGTGTGAGGATGGATGTCCAATCTACGGAAATAGTTGGTAATAGTCGAGCTAAATCACCGATTGATAGAGTTAGAATTCATGTGCTGGTCATTGAATTAGGTCCCAGTGGTTGAATGTGGTATGTGAGCTTGCCTCGTAACCGTAAGGTCCTGGGTTCGAGCCCTGTCAGTGGGTGGGTACTGCCAGTGATTCCCAAACTAGAATGAAACAGCCCACCAGTACTCCCTGACTGATTTTCAATGGTTCTCTTACTGATATCAATCCCTGACCAACTCGTAAAAACAAAAGAAACCCTTACAAACCAAACTATAGAATATTTCTTCGATTCAAGTGTTGGTTTGTAGAGATTTGATTGATTTCAGGATTTCATCATGAGCTGACATTAGTTAGAGAACCATTGGAAAACCTGGGGAGTACTGGACAGCTGATTCGTCCTAGTTTGGGACTCTTCAGCAGTACGCACCCACCGGGATTCGAACCCAGGACCTTCCGGTTACAAGGCGAGCTCGTATACCATTAAGCCACTGGGACCCGATCCAATGGTCCTTGAATTCTAACTTCTGCCAATTCACGACATAGCGCGACCGCTAGCCAATGTCTTCGGCGAGTATTTGTCCTCACACCCGACCAGCTGCACCCTACTGGTCACGACTTCCCACTGGAACCCAGGTAACTACCTACCTGAATAGGGCCAGTCGCGGGTGCAGCGGGTCGGGTGTGAGGACAAATACTCGCCGAAGACATTGGCTAGCGGTCGCGCTATGTCGTGAATTGGCAGAAGTTAGAATTCAAGGACCATTGGATCGGGTCCCAGTGGCTTAATGGTATACGAGCTCGCCTTGTAACCGGAAGGTCCTGGGTTCGAATCCCGGTGGGTGCGCACTGCTGAAGAGTCCCAAACTAGGACGAAACAGCTGTCCAGTACTCCCCAGGTTTTCCAATGGTTCTCTAACTAATGTCAGCTCATGATGAAATCCTGAAATTTCTTCTATTTTCAAGTATTCGTTTTTTAGGGATCTGACGCGTTTCAATTTTGACCACAGGTGGATATCAGTTAGAGAATCATTGAAAAGAAACATGGAGTACTGGACAGCTGTTTCGTTTCGTCCTAGTTTGCAACCCTTCACTATGCAGTGTGTACGTGTCACTCCAATTGGGACTGAACCCAAAACCTTCAGTTTATCAAGCATGTTCGACCGATCATTCTTCATCCACTAAGACAGACTCCGGTGGCTTATGAATTTCAACTTCTGCTTATTTGTAATATGTTCCACGACTGTTGACCGGTATCACCAGTGAGTAGTTTCCTCACATGTGACCTGATGAACCTAACTGGTTACGACTTCTCATCAGAACGCCAGTCATTCGACTTCCGTAGTCACTTACCAGAGAGCATTAGATTAATTTTTAGGGGTATCAATATTTACCGAAAATATTCAGTCAGATGTTTAGAAAAAACATTTAGCGAAGAATGTCCTTTTCGATAATTTCCTCCTCTTCTGTCTATACAGTTATATATGGATATTTATATACACAGAATATTCTAGAATAATCGTCATTAATAATACGAGTGTTTTTTTTAAATAATATCGGTTTGTTAAGTAAGATCGCAATGGAATTACCACAGTTCAAGAAACATGCATTAATTATGATAAGCATAAAAATGTAATAGTAAATAGAATATCGAATAAAATTAAAAGAATTTTTATGACAAACTGGGGGTCATTCAAACCTAGATGGCCGAGGTAGGGGACAGTGTCTGAACTAGCTTCTTTTGGACACATAAGTTAGGCCTCCTAATGTTCTTCCTAACAGCCTCAGCAATATGTATAATAGACTAACTCTTAGGGTGAAGTTAAGATCTGTTGGTATGCGGTAAATGACTTTGAAAGCCGCCTCGTTGACATCAATCTTGTGTTCTGTATCCACAAGATGAGATAGAATAGCACTACGAATAGATTTTGTTTGTCCTTTACTTAACCATGCAGTGTGATGTTCAGAAATCCGACGAGAAAGGCGCCTAACTGTACAACCTATGTTACTGCCTCCACAGGAGCAGTCAAATTGGTAAAATACACATAGAAAAGGCAAAATTAGGCAGCTGGTCTTTAACTCCCGAACGCAAAACAGGTGAGTGGTTTTGAAGACACCGTTTAATTTAGCAGCATTGAATGCTCTTTTTACCACCACATTTTTCAGGCATTGTGTCAATAGCTCACTGATGTTATCCCGGAGGAGAAACTGAAGTTGTAAGTATAATGCTATTTTCGAAACTGTTGGTGCTTTTGGCTGCCTTGACGTTTGATTCATATTATTCAACGAATTATCAACGAATTTTTCCGGGTAATCGTCCTCACTCAGAAACAGTTTCAAATAATATTAAGCTCTTCATTGACAGATTCATCAAAGCAGAATGCTTCTGCTCTCTGTGGCGGACCAAGCACTTTATTAGATTACGCTTTATATTTCAAGGGCACGAAGTCGAAAAAATGAGCATTCTGACACCGTCAGTAAATGTAGATTTTTCTATATACACACTTTTCATTCTTATTGTGCCGTCCTCTTTTCTAGCCATAAGGACGTCTAGGAATGAAGAATTACTAGAGTAGCTTTCTTTCTTTCTGTCATTCTCGATGGTAAAATTTACTGTGGGATGAACATCGTTTACGTCTTTGTCAACAAGGATGATCTTTCAAGTGTTGGTTTGTAGGAATTTGATTGGTTACAGGATTTCATCATGAGCTGACTGAAATTAGTTAGAGAACTGATGAAAACTGATAGGAAGTACTAGACACCTGTTTTTTGTCAGCCTAGTTTGGGACTCTTCAGCAGCACGCACCCACCACAGGGTTCAGACCCAAGACCTTCTGGTTACGAGGCTAGCTAGCTAGCTCGTAGACCAATCAGCAGCCACTGGGACCCGATCCAATAGCCAGTCCATGAATTCCAACTTCTGCCAATTCACGACATAGCGCGTCCTCTAGGCAGTGTGTTCGGCGAGTATTTGTCCTCACACCTGACCTGCTGCACCCTACTGGTCACGACTTCATCCTTATTTTTCATAATCAAAAGTGTGTCACATCTATGTACCTTACTGACAGTAGAATTCTATTTCATTATTTACTTCTTTCAAAAGGCTATTTTCTAGGTTGCGTAAAAAGAAAAAGTCGGCCAGAATTTGCCCTAAAAGGTATCCCCATTGATCTCGTTTAGGGATTTGATTGTCAGTCAATTGACCATAGCAAACAGGATATTTCATCGATGGTTTCAGGCAGACCACAAATATTACATTACCTGAAAATGTTTAGTTTTGTAAAGGAGATAATGGTGAATTTTCACCTCGAATCGAGTGTGAGTGCGCGTGCGCGTGTGTGCGTGCAATAAATCAACGCCTCTTCCTACAGTTCATAAACTCTCGCATCCTACCTATTCTTCTTTATTCTTCACCCTTATTCTTTCCTGGTTTGCTTAAAATGAACTATGTCACAATTCGTAGAATGCTGAAGACGGTCAGTAGGGTGAGTGGTGTCCCAGTGAACCACATAGTATACGTCGTTGTCGATAAGCACTTGACTTCGTGAAATAAATTTGCTAGATGGATTTTGTCTGACTTGGAGCATCCACTTCACCCTCAGCCTTCACCTTGCATCTCCTCCTCAGGTAGAACAAGAAGTAACTTCAGAAAACTGTATGCTCGCACGTCTAAGTATAGAAATTTTACGATACCATACTTGGCACGTATTTTATGTGATGAAAATAGTGTCAGGCAACAATTAACTAACCTTTTTTCATCTAGTAAACAAACGATTTCCTCCATCCATCCATCCATCCATCCTTATATACCTTCAAGTTTTACTTTTATTATTTCTATTATATTTATGGTCCTGTTGCTTCTTTGTTTGTTTTACTCTCATAATTGCAAGCACCAACTTATCTCTATGACTGTTGTAATCTTTGTTTTTCCCCTCACCATTTATCATGTAAAGAGAACATTATATTCAATATTTTTAAACATCCTAGGATTTCTATACCGCATTGACAATACTGTGTGAAACAAGCCCATGGCGATTTTCACTTGTATTCTTATTATTATTACCTTAGCTGTTATCATTATTATTATTATTTCCATTTTATATGCTGCATGTTTTTGACATTACCGCTTTTTTAAATGTGGAAAATTATCTGTGTGATTAATTTTTATTTATAATTTGAGGAAATTAGATGTAATACTGTGATTAATGGTGAAAATTCCATTCTGTATCACAAATACTGTTTTTGGAATAAAGTAAATCATTATTATTATTATTATTATTAACAGTTTTGCAAATGTGTTTAACAAATCTCTATGACTCACTTTCACAGGCTTCATCTAAGTCAGCTTTGAAAAAGCATAATTTTTCAGCGTCAACAGCACATGTGTGAAATTGAGCACTAAATAGAAATAACAGGGAAAAACGGAAAGATGGAAAGACAGAGTAAGTAATTAAGCCAGAGTACAAGGCAGAAAAGATGCATTTAAAATCTATAAATCTTATCATTACCAATCATTGACTGAGATTTAACATTTGGCTTAATAAAGAGGAGTTATGCTTTACCCAGAAATGCCGTTATTTGCACCCTTATTTATGACTAGAATTTAATTTGTGAATGGTGACTAGCACTGGGATTGATCAGGATGGGCATTTCATCCCATTTAGGACTCGTCATCTGGATGTACCCGTATTTTGCAGTGATTGATGATTTTCCCCGCACCGAGGCTTGAACACGGTGCCCAAAGTTTCAAAAATGTCAAGGCGTGATCGACTAGATCACTTGGGCCACAAGAGCCACCTCTTGTGCAACAAGTCATATCGATTATTAAACAGAATTTTAAATTTTCCCGTCGACTGATTGGACTGAAGTGCTCGGTCTGAGGTTGACATGTCGGCTTCTTAACTTATTTATAACTGTATAAATGAGTATATTTCAATAAATTTGACTTTGAAAGTTACAAACGTTTTATAGCTATAAGATCACTCATCATCTGATGAACGAACGCTGAATATGAATTCAATTTTTGAAAATTATTTAGGATATTCAATGTTAAGGTTGGTTGCATTTTACTACCTTTGTTCTTCCAAGCTATAACTACAATAAACGAATTAAAAAAAACCCTGAATTTATACATTTAGAAAGAAACTGTCCCTGACCTTTCACCTTATCATGATGAATTTCAATGGTGGTGATGAACATTGAACACCGTGTGTTTATTTGAAATGGTTTTCATTCTGGAGGGAAACAAGAAGGCTATCGCTGCTTTATCATATACTGGTAGGCAGAAGATTAGAGAAATACGATCAGAAGTACTATTGCACAATATATATATATATATATATATATATATATATATATATTAACGTTTATCGGTTATTGATGTCGTTGTTTTCTCTGAGCTAGATAGTTAATTTGCGAAGCTTTCATTGCCCTCTCTACTAGGCGACATCTTCAGCGCATACACTTCAATTCACTGAATGAGCTTTTAGATTCCTCCACGAATTTATCAATCACCTCTCCTGGTGACCTAGGACGTGAGTGGTTGTTTTTGTGTGTTTTCACACCTTCTAGGTTACTTGTATTGGAAAGGATTGTTTCTTTGACTTGAACTCTGAACCTTCGTGTGTGAGGTTTCTTTCTTATCAGTTGATAAATTTTGTCTACCTCAATGTGTCTAATGATTGATGATTCATGGGAATTCAAGCCAGGCTTCTAAAAATTCTCTAGCATTCTTAGTGTTTCCTCTGTCGTCTAATATTTGAACGTTGGTTGTCCTAGTCGAATTGATATCCGTGTTTGTCTGTATGCAATGAGGCGATATGAGGGAGTGGATATTATGTCTTTTGAAGGTTAGCTTATACTCATGGATACAAAGACGAAGGGAAGGGGACGTCCACTTTGGCCAATGTACTGTTTTTCGCAGTTGTTACAATTTATTTTGTAGACGATGTTGGTTTTATCTTCTTTCGCTGTTGAGTCTTTTTAGTTGACATAGAATTGAGTGAAGTGATTTTGTTGGTTTGTGTACGGTGTCGATTCCTAAACGTTTGAAGAGACTTGTAGTGATTTCTGAGATATCGTTTATATATGGTGGGGTGATTTTCTTTTTTGTTTTCCTTGTGGGCTTTTGGTTTGGCTTTGGGATGGATATATGTCGGTTATAGTTGTAATTCTATTTCATTATTGCTGGAGGAATAAATAATCGTACTACTGCCCTATATTTTGTATATTAGGCTTATTCTTGTGAAACCCAAGAGAGATCCAGGATCTTTGCGATCTGGATGCTTAATAGTGAATATATATTTCATGTTGCTGTAATTATTTTAACATGAGACAAAATAATTTCAAACATTTGATGTTATGTATCTTTATGCATATTTTCCTGCGTAATGTATCTTGTCATATTTGTACCTCTGATCAGTTTTTTTCAGCTTCCTTTCTTAATTCTAGGATATTCTTGTACTCATTTTGTATATGATATTAGATGGTTGGGGCAATCGGCCACAGGAAGCCCTACTTGACCTAAGTTTCGTGCCAGTTGTCACTCACCAGTTACTCACCAAAGCAGGGTTATCTGAAACTTTGAAGAAAGTCATATCCTCCTCCTTTTGAGATTCAAATCTGCGTCACCAGCCACTGCTGCAGTCAGAGATGTTGCCACTGAGCCAGCTATTCGCGCTCGCGATTGACCTCCTGTAGGACTCTAGTGGATAGTTTGATTTGACACTAGTAACTAGTGTGATGTATCTGGCTAGTCCTCTCTTTGGTGTAGGCTGAATTCTATCAGTCAGGTTGTAATGTGGCCACTATGTGACTCGGGTTCAAATCTCAGAGGAGGACATGGGTTCCTTCAGGGCTGCAGATACGCCCTGCCTTGCTGACTGACTGGCGAGTGACAACTAGCACGAAACGCAGGTTGAATTCTTCCTGTGGCCGATTGCCTCCAACCATCATCTAATATCATCAAATCAATGTGTACCGTGACGGCGAGCTACCTAGGTGGCATGGTGGCCACATTACAACCTGACTAACATTCAGTCTACACCAAAGAGAGGAATAGACACATCACACTAGTTACCAGAGTCAAATCTAAATACATTTTGTATATGTTAAATAACTTGACAATAAACTCTTTTCAATAGTTGGTTTGTAAAGATTAGATTTTTTTTAACGAGTTGATCATGGATTGTTATCAGTCACAGAACCATTGAAAACCAAGCAGGAGTACTGGACAGCTAGCTGTTTCATCCTAGTTTTGAGAATCACCAGCTGTACGCACCCACTGCCAGAGTTCGAATCCAGTGTGGATGGATGTCCCACCGTTGACATGGCTTGGTGCTCGCGCTAAATCACGAATTGGTAGAAGTTAGAATTCATAGACTGACAACTGAATCAGGTGCCAGCGGATGAGTGGTATACGAGCTTGCTTTGTGACAGGAAGGTCCTGGGTTTGAAATTCATTAGGGTGGGTGCGTGCTGATGAAGAGTCCCAAACTAGGATGAAACAGCTGTCCAGTACTCCTAGCTGGTTTTTACAATGGTTCGTTAACTGATAACAATTAATGAACTTTTTATTTCCTTCCATTGTATTTAAGTGTTAGTTTGTAGGGGTTTGATGGATTTGTTACAGGATTTCACCAACAGCTGACATTGGAAAACCAGCTGGAAGACCTTGGCAACTGTTTCGTCCCAAGTTGGGACTCTTCATCAACACGCATCTGCCGTATTGAAACCTTGGACTTTCCGGTTACGTGGTAAGCTCGTAGACCATTAAGCTAATTGGTCCAGTGGCAGAGCCATGAATTCCATCTTCTACCAATTCACGATATGGCGCGGCTTTTAACAGCCAGTGTCATCGTTGGTGAGTGTTTGTTCTTACACTCAAGCTGCTGTTTAATTATGTAACATTATTGTTCCACACTACTGTTATCCATAAGTAAATTATCTGAAAATTTATTTTGTATTTAATTGGTGGATGGTGACTAGCAGCGGAACCCACCAGGATGCGCATTTCGCTCTATTTGGGACTAGTCAGCTGGATGTATCCATATTCCACTGTGAGTGATGATGTTCCCCACACCGAGGCTTGAACCTGGTGCCCATAGTTTCAAACGCCGAAGCGTTATCCACTGGATCACTTGGGTCACGAGGGCCGCCTCTTTATTCTGCCACGGGTCATATTAAGTATATAATTGAATTTTAGATTTTCCCATCGATTGATTGTACCGAAGTGCTCGGTCTGACTTCTAATTACATGCTCAGACGTCGTCAGTGCATCCGAACAAGAAGCCGATATATCAACCTGAGCCTGAGGACTTCAGTGAAATCTATGAATTAAATAATTTTTTTGTATATTGAGATATCAATAATCTTTAGGTTGTACGCAATGTAAAATAAACAACTAAATACATGGGCCACTAAAATCCATCCCAGTGGATAGATGTAGACGGGTTGACCTATTAAGCTGAAAGTCCTTAGTTCAATGTCTGATGGTATCACGCGTGCGTACTACTGTAAAGACTCAAGCAAAGAGAAAACAGCTACCTAGCTCTCCATGGTATTCACTTCATCTGTAACTGGTTATTTATTTACCATATTCCTCTTTAACTACTTGTTTTGTTTTTTCAGTAGTAAAAGTATCTTCAAATAAAAATCCAATGAAAAGCTTACGCTTCATTAGAATTCGAGTTGTTTCTCACCAAATAACCCTATTCAAATCAATCACTCATTCACAGAATACTTTAAATAAAGAATTTTAACAACGCCTTCTTTCAAATAACGGGACATAATTCAACTGGTGGTCAGAAAGGAGAACTGATAGAACTCACCGAAATAGCAATTCTTGAAATTGTGCGGAGAAATTAGGCTGTATGTAACAAGCGATAAGAACATCGCCATGCAAAGGTAGAACTGGTTCAATCGGGAAGATATACCTTTCCACGCGAAGATTTACATTTGGACAGCTAGAAGAAGTACCGGAAAAAATTAAAAAAAACAAGGGAGAGAAGAAATGCTATTACACATATTCTTTCGTCTTAACCTAGTTAAGTTAATTTAAGGACTCCTCAAAATGTGAAGCCCATAATCGTAAATCTCCAAGCTACAATACTCATCATTCAGCCACTGGATCAACATTCATTGAATCATGCTAACTGTTGATACAACTTTACCACGATTTATTTCCATGGTTAGCAGAGAATGATACCCAGGTGAACGTATTGTTGTAACGACAGAAGACAAGAGCCAGGCAACAGATCGTTTATTGAGAAAATCAACAGATATTTATAGATTTTTATGTACAATATTATTTTTTTATTTTTTATTTTTGATCACAGCTTGATCCCACACCGTATTTTTGGTACAGGTATGGAATTTTCTGATTAGTTGTTTTATTGCTGAAGGATATTCTGTACTGCTTGTGACAGTTTCTCGGAAAGTTGAGCCATATATCTGCGAATCATATTTCTACACGTGAACGCCGCTTTGATTGGTTGGTGATTTTCTCAAGGTTAAGCTTTGTCATTGTTTTTTTTCGCGTGACCCTGATTCGGGACATGAACGTCAACGTAAATTGCTGTCTACAATTTTTAGCTTGGAGCTAAATGTGAGTCGGTTTTCTTTATTCCTTTATGTTACCAGTTTCGGTAACAGTGGTGTTTATTGTTACAAGGTAGAGGTTGCTAACTTAACTCCCAGAGCCTTCCGTCTTTACCAGTCTTATTACTGATTTGAACCTGGAACCATCTGCTTGGTTGGTGAGGATTCTATCGCTGTGCCACTGACGCACACGTGAGTCCGTTAAGTAATTAATCATTTTCTACAAACTGTTATTCTTGCCTCTTTGACTAGTGGAAACTGGGGATGCACCCAATCTCACTTGTGTTAGAATAGAACTTGCATACTTTGCTAGAGTATAAATAAATCTACTCTGTGGTGGAATTACACCCAGTCACTTCGTTCAAATGAATGAACATCAAGAATTTGCCAGTGAGAAAAGGTGCTGGGATTGTAGTCTGTTCGGTGGGGTGGAGGGGGGGGGGAGATGGTCTACAGCAGTAGAAGCTTAGTATACCTAGTCGTGATAATTTCGCCTTCACATCCTTGAAGGTTATAAATGCTGACATTAAAAATTAGACGACAGTGAAATAAAGAATAAAATTTATTCAAAAGAATGGATAATGAACAAGGAGTACTCTTTTCGATAACCTACTCTTCGTCATCAGGCTCTACAATTATATATACATAATGGTGAATGAATGAATTAGTGTTATGAACAACATTAATGTGGTTGTTTAAATAACATCGAATCAATAATCACATTGATAGATTACAGCTGAATAGCATCAACATAACAATAAGCTGAATGTTCGAAAAAATTAGGAAAGATAATATTACAAATTCATGAGTTTATAGTCTCTACTGAAGGGCAGCTAGGGCAGTAGTAGGGGCTGGCTTGCTTCTTTTGAACACAGAGCTTTGGTTGTTTTTCAGGCGAATCGCAATAGCCTCTACTGTTTGGAGCATGCGGTGCTTCGATGATTTTGGGAATTTATTAGACACCCGGTAGATGATGATAGAGAAGGATTCTTCCACTCTGGCTGGATTCGTGGCCAGTTTGCACAAGATGGTCCAATATCGAACTGTTAATGGTCTTCATTACACATTTACTTAGCCATAGTGGGAGATGTTATCGAGCAAGCACGGAAAATCAAGTTCTTAGAACAACAGTCAATATAACTCGCTCCACACCGAGTGCAGTTGAATTGGTAGATACGATTTGAGGTAGCCAACTAGTCTAGGTACTTCATCTTTCAGTCGAGGTAACACCATCGGTCGTGTCGAGAATAAGACGTGTAGTTCCCCGGTATTAAAACTTTTTTTAACTAATTTTCCTAAGTTCCTCTTAATTATCGTAATTGGTATATTGCCCTTGAATTGCAGTCGTATATAAAGAGGCTTCTTGTTTGCGAATAGTGAGTAGTCCTTTTCCGCCGCTTTCTTTGTCATGCTTTTCTTGATAAATTTTTCGGGATAGCTATTTTCGATCAAAGTATCATATACTATGCTTAATTCACCTTCAGTTACTTCTTCTGAGCATATATCTCTAACTCTGTGGCCGAGTGAGGGTCTTTACTAAATTTCTTTTGTACTTGATAGGAACGAAGCTGTGAAAATGTGTATATTGTACATAAAATTAATCTAATTGATTCTTGCAAAATCCTAAAAATCAGTTCAAAATAACTTAGCGTTACAACCTTGATTTCTGGTCTGATTACACTAATGTCTAGTATAACCCAGAGGTATAACAAATCTGCGGCGTGTGTCAGAACCTGTTAACAAGGAGAAAAGTATTGACAATTCACAGACAAATAGTGATTATCCAGCAGTAGAGATGTCTAAGCATGATGAGCATTATTCAGTTTCCATCAACTGAAGTTGCCATTCAGATTCATTTCACTGGGAGATAAGTAGGCGAAGTTCAACCATAGCGTCACAGGAGTGTGAACGCTCCTGTGACCTTGAACGTATGTTAGTCGTTGCCCAACGGCATCTGTCATTATCATACCTGAAATATCAAGGCTATTCACCAACTTAGGAGCGAATTTCACCCAGATCATGTTTTTAAGCACTGCTGGGACAATGTGTTAATAGCTCATTAGGGTTAGGATCAGGTTTATAATTAGCATTAGGGTAAGAATTACTGTTTAGATAAGGGTTATGATTAGGGTTAGGATTAAGGTTAGGGTTAGTGTTAGGATCAGGATTAAGCTTATGATTACGATTAGGAATAGATTTATAGTTGATGTCATTTATTGTAATTTGTTTTATTATCCACGTTTTCCTGCTAAGCGGTCGTCTATCCTCTTCCTGGAAACCATAATAATTCAATCGAGGGCTGTTTTAGAAGACTGCAAGCAGGATGAGGGAGATGAACGATTCACAAAAACAGTTTATCTGTAGTCATCTCGGTGAATACATGTACAGAAACTAGTCTAACTTAGCAGGTGATACTTTTCGTTACAACTAGGGCGGATTTTTAAGTCATTTCAGAGAAAGATAACCTGTTCAATGCGTTTGCAAGCAATTTCTTGTCAATATGCAACACTTTTTGAGCAAACATCCCTCACTTTTACGATTGGTCAGCTAAAGGTCACCAGTGTATTCGCACTCCTGGAACGCTATTGTTGAACTTTGCGGATGAGTAATTATTTCAGTGTAGACTTCGTCACACAACAACCAATACGGGGTTTACTTGATAGTCGCTTCCTTCCTTCCTTCCACTTTTGTGAAGGCCTTCAGCGGTTGGTTACACCAGATTTAGTGTAAGGCAGATGCTTACTGATGATGACAATACATTGGTCAAGGTGCTATACCATATCTGAAGGTTGAAGGCAATTGTTACAGTTAGATTTCATGCTTACAGTCATTCACCAAGAAGAAGAAGAAGAAGAAGTATCACCAGACTTTGAAGAAATCAATATCCTTTCTCAGAAATAAAGCAGTGATATGGAAGATTTTGATTATTTCGTATCACTGGCTGCTAGACGCTGAGACATTCTGAAGAGACGTTACATCATCTTTGGTGTTTTTCACAGTTAGATTATTTTTAAAACATTCCGTAAGATATAAGGATAGAATGTTGTATTGTGATGAGAGCTGTCTGCTAGCCAAAATTGACAGACAGTAATTTGCGTCAATATTTACGTCCCAAATCTTGGTCATGCGAAAAATAAGAACAAAGACTAACTCAACAACCAATCACACCAGACTTGATGTAGGCGGATATAATTTACAGGTAGTTAATCTGAATTTCAAGAAACGGCCACAAATAGATGAAGGATTAACGTTCAGCGAGAAACCACCAATCAGTAGACGGTGTTTCTTTGCTTAAAATAATCTATAATAATGCACATGAGAATCTATAAATATGTGTTGATTTTGTAAATAAACGATCTGTTTCCTGACCCTTGTCTTCTGTTGTTACAGTATTACTGTCAGGCGGAAAGGAATTCGACCTTCTCATCCTTGTTTGAGTCGATGGAAGGTTGGGGTATAAAATCAGAAGTAGATTTCAAGGTGATGAATTATAAGGTAAATGCGGTTGGAAGTCTGATCGGTGGAGGATAACTGAGATATAATCTCTGAATAATTAATAAGAATATATACTGAGAGAGAAACAACAACGGATTTCATTCAATTCAACTGGGACAACCAACGTTCAAATATTAGACAGAGGAAACAAACAAAAAGCACCTGCGGTAGGGCTTTATATGCCTTGGTAACTTGTCTTTTAACATAATATGGTTACGGATATAAGTATAAAACTTGAGAACGGTGGTAGAGTATAACTCCGATATGGATAAGATTTTATTTTGATAGATCATACAGTGGTGTTATACAGTAATATTAACTGATGACCGCGTTTCGAACACAAATCACTGCCGCTCATAATCCTATCAAGTCACTCACTCACACAACTTTCTCCCTCATTTATACACATGTGTGGAATTGACTAGACATTTAAATAAAAATCAATATGGGATAATGTACATTCAGAAATAGTAATAATATGAGTGTTACTGATCAATTACAATCAGATGGGAAATAATACGAGTGTTTTTTCTTATAGTCATAATAAGGTGAGTAACTTGTTAGAATGATGTGGTTGAATTGAATTGAGATAGAATTTTAAGATTATTTATTATCCTCTTCTGATTTGACTGACTGACTGACTGGTTGGTGGTAGTAATATCTTCCATATACATCTCTGGTATTTGCAATGAGTCATTTCTGTAGCATGTGTTAGGTGCAGATTATTTGATGAACCAGGCTGGATTCAGTAATCAACCTCTCACTTTCTCTGCACCTACATAGATTACTTCTTAGAATCTTAACTGTCTCCCACCCTATTGTGTGTTAATGCATGCAGGGGAGTATAGTGCTGAGCTTCTTTCTAAATTACTCATCTTCTCGGGGTCAACCATTCCTACCTTAGCTACACATTCTTATGTTCCAATAATCTGATTACCCCCGATCTACATAATCTTATATTTAACGACATATTTCACTAACTCACAGTTTTTTTTTCAGTTCACGTGTATCGTCTATGTGTATTGCGAACTGAGTAATGACTTACGTAATCTAGCTGTTGTTCTTGTTATCCACAGTTGTTTGTGACAAACAGGAAATTTAATCGTATTACAGTATATAAAAATAACACAACAGTAACTTTATGTTTTGATAAGTTAACACTTTTATTCATTTATATACCATAAGGATTCAAGGAAGGCAAATCATGAACTGATCAAATCGTGACTCTAGGCTTTGTCATCACAAAACAAAGCATAGTGTGGTACTCAGACTTCTACACGAAACGCCTTCATTGACTTCGTAAAGATTTTCGACAGAGTTGATCATGCATGAAGTAATTCGTCAATGTGCTTCAAAACTATAGAGTGTAGTACCCAAGTCTTTAAAAAACCTCATTCAACAGATAGCTATAACAGAAATCCAGCGAGGCGTTCAATATGAAGACGACAGAAGTAAGAAGACAAGGCTGCCTGCCTATTATCACCGATGATCATTTTTTTTGAATTATGTGTACTGGGATTATGCGGTACACACTGCGTATGAGCGTGAAGACGAGAATACGCTGAACCACTGATAGGAAGACCCAGGAGGACCATAAGGCTTCAGCCGCCCCCTCGCACCATTGCATTCGGTTCTCTGCTAACCTTTTCATCTGGCTCCACCTCTGCCCACATGCTTTCATCTCCTCTTCACATGACTTCCTCTTCCATGTCACCTTCGCACTGACGACCAACTCATCGCTTTCTGTTAGGCTTCCACTCGAGCGATGGCCTGCTATGTGATGTCACTTGATGGTTTCCTCAGAATATGGCCAATCCGATCCACCTTCATTTCTTCCTGCATATTTGTTGCACAATGGGTTCCTGTTGGGGTTGGTTCGCTCATTGCCAGAGATCCCTGTTGCTGATGCTTTCTGGCCATCTGACCTTGAATACTGAGTGAAGACAGCTGTTGATGAAGGTGCTCTTTATGACGCGCCAACTCTCTGATCCGTATGGTGAAAAGCACTGACTTCACGTTGGAGTTGAAAATCCGGATCTTATATTCGTTTTCATGCTGATTAGTGTTGTTGACCTCCACACAGACTTGAGAGTAATGAAAGCTTGTTTTGCCTTGATGACCTCGTCAGTTCCAACTGCCTGCTTCCCAGGTAGGTAGGTAGGTAAAGGAGGTTTCTTCTTTATTTTTTTTATTTATTTTTATTTTTGATTACAGCTGGATTCCACACTGTATTTTCGGTACAAGTGTGGAATTTTCAGCGTGGATATCGGTAGCCCAAAATTCGCAGGCCGACCATAGATATCAGGTGTGCGTCGGCGTGGGCTCGAACCCCGGACCATGTGCGAGAGTCCTAACCACTGTGCCACCGACGCACAGATTCCTCCCAATTTATGCTGGCTGATTGTTGTCTGTTGTTGTTGTTTCTGTGGCTGTTGCTGTTGACCAGGAATCTTCATCACCTCTGATTTTATCTCTATGTTCACTTGAAGTGCATTCCTATCTTTGATGCTTCTTGTGCCAACTTGTTGCTTTTCATGTGCATATCTTCCAGTTAGTGGGAAATCAGACATATATCATCATCGGCGAAGTTCAAATCCTCCAATTTTTTGGTGTGATAGGAAGCCTCAGGAAGATCTGGTTTAGGCAAGTGGTTTATGCCTAACGTCACACAAACTCATAGACTAACATGTGGAAGGCAAAAAAAACTGTCTGAAGACGCCAGCAGTGAAAACAGGAGTACAGGTGAACATAGAGAAGACAGAGGTGGTGAAGATAACCAACGAACCGCCACAGCAACAACAACAACAACCAGCACCAATCAACCAACATCAACATGAGAGATTTAAAAGCGGAAACTTACTTCACCTATCTGCTTTCAACTATAGGCAATGAGAATGAATGAAATTGTTAAAGCTAGTCAGGTAGGATCGGAAAGGTTAGGCACACCTTCATCAGTCTGAAGTCCGTCTGGAAATCTTCTGCAGTCAGCCACCAGCATAAAGAGGAAGAATCTGATTTTTGAAACTAATGTTAGGTCAGGAAATTTTCACAAATGAATCCGAAATTTTGACATGCGTATCACAAAAAAAAGAATTCGAACAGGTTACAGACTGCCTGCCTACTTCATTGGCTCCTTATTGAAAATCAGTTGGCTAGCTGATCAGGAAGAAACTCTGGCTGGCAAAAAACCAGCGAAGAGAAAATTGGTCATCAAATATGTATTCAAATATGGAGATTAATGGATCGAGCGTACGTGAAGGAGGTTGTCGAATGACACTGCACGGAAGACAGGTCATTAATGGAATGGAATTCCAATGGGAAGCGACGAGTGAGTCGTCATTGTGAGGGTTACATGAAGGAGATCGTGTGGTAAGGTGAAGAAGATGAGAGAGCTAGCTAGCTGACGAGGATAGCGGAAAATAGAAGAGAGTAGAGATGTGTTGTTGAAGCTCTGTGTTTCTTTCAGAGCCCAAGGGATAAAACTTGGGCACTGTGGTGGTAGAGTATAACTCCATTATGGATAGAAAATAAATTTCGATAAATTACACAGTGTTGCACAAATCTATTAACTGATGACCACGTTTCCAGCACAGATTATCGGTCTGATTGCAGTACTGGATGACAGGTTGAAATCTCAGAAGGAGGACATGAGTTCCTTCAAGGCGATTGCAGATACACCTGCCTTGCTGACTGACTGGTGAGTGACAACTAGCACGAAACCTAGGTATCGAAGGCTTCCTGTGGCCGATTGCCTCTAACCGTCTAATATCATCAGAATAAATTGTCCACAAGGAACTCTAATGAACACTGAACTGACCAAGAATTCATCTATAACCTGACAAATATGCAGAAAGGAATGGATCAGTGGAGCAGAGACAGACACTGAGAAGACTGTTGAATGATGTGTATTGCACTAGGCAGACCTTCAAGTTGGTGAACTCTAACGGGAAACGGTAAAATGAAAGGTGGAGTGCAAGGGTGAAAGAGACGTCCCACGGGCAGCCATTGGGGCATCTAAAGTGACATGTACTTCTGAAGTCCGATATTTTGCTCGCAGAACCGAAGGGAATAAATGAACAGTAATAGTACAGGGGATGCATGACAAAAATATAATATGAGTCCAATAAACCCTCACGTCGATAGAGTGGATAACCTATAAGAAAAATACAAAACAAAACTAACTCTTACAAACCAAACTATAGAATATTATTCTGATACTCGCTAGTGACTTGCTACAGGATGAAGTTTCCTGCAGTGAGTTCTACTGAGAAGTCGTGACCAGTGACGTCTATCCAGATGTCACGTGTGAGGATGGATGTCCCACCTACGACCATGGCTGGGGTCACGCTAAATCACGAATCAGTAGAAGTTAGAGTTTCAGTGGCTGAATGGTATACCAGCTTGCTTGCTTGTAACCGGAGGGTGCTGGATTCGAGCCTTGGCAGTGGGTGCGTACTGCCGATGATTCCCAATCTACTAGGATGAAACAGCTAGCTGTTCAGTACTCCAGTGCTGGTTTTCAATGGTTCTCTAACTGATATCAATCCATGGTCAAACTCGTAAAAACAAAACTAACCCTTATAAACCAAACTATGGAAAAACAAAACATTGAAAGATAATTTCTATTCCACTTACAGAACTCTTGTTGTATGCATTAGATTTAAATTTTGATATATTTTCAAGAATACACCACATTCACTGTCAACAAATGTTTGAAACGGTCCAAACGCTGAGATTTGTCCAACTGTAGGTTGTTGATGATGACCACCGCCTGTGTGTTGTCTGACAGCTGAAATTGTTGTTGTTCCTCTGGAGGTGAAAATACTTGATCCCATCTACCTGTCCAATCCTCTTCTTCTTCATCAAATATCATATCACCATTTGATTGTCTGGTAAATAATTCCCACGATTGGCGTCAGTAGCATGTTGCATTCGAGCCAGTATATCTTCTGGTTGTGCGTATAATGAGTTTTCATTATTCTCTGCAATGGCTTCAAGTGGTTGACCCAAATACCGGCCACGGGAGGAATCACGATAAACAATCGCGTGCAGATAGACTAAACGATCTTGTAATATCAAGGCTCCAGTTAGTAAACCAGAGAAATATCCGACATATCTAAACAAAAAATGTGTTAGGGTTAGCTGATACTACGCAAAAAATTTCTACGATCCCATTCCTATGATAAATAAATAAATGAAGTTGATGCGGATGTATCAAGGAAATAAATATGTTTATTACAGTTATATAATAATGTAATATATAATATAATAATAAAAAGTTTCGATAAAGAAAATCAAACCATGTTCTTACCAAACTGCAACTCTACGCATCATAGTCACAGAAGAAAGCATGGAATGGAAATCAAACCTCTACCTCAACTTTAAAGACTTTGAAAAGGCCTTCAACAGCGTTGATCGCGAAGTAATTTGGAAACCACTCGAGTACTACGGCGTACTCCAAATATTCATCAACCTTATTCAACAGCTGTACGACAACGGCACATATCAAGTCCATGTCCACAACGGAAAACTCAGAGAGGCGTTTGGAGTAAGTAAATACAGGAGTCAGACAAGGATGCTTATTATTACCAATGATATTCCTAATTGTGGTGGACTGGATTATGCGTCAGACAGTGGGAAACGAGCAGAGACGGATATCCTGGACAGACAGACGTGGAGAAACTAGAAGACCTGGATTTCGCGCGTGGATGATTTATGCTTGATGTCACACAAAGCTTAAGACTTACAAGCGAAAACCGACCGACAAACTGGTCAAAGAAGCAGCCGGTGAAGACAGCACTCCAGGTGAACATTGACAAGGCGGAGGTTATGAAAATAACCAACCAACAACGACAATAGCAACATCCAGGATTTTCAATACAAACGTCAAGTCAGTTCTTCTATACGGATCAGAAATTTGGCGGGGGGTCACGAAGAATATTTCCAACAGCCTGTTGCAGATCGGACCTTTATCAACAACTGTCTAAGCTGGATCTATACTGAAGATCAGATGGCCGAGCCGGAAAGAATCACCAACAAGAACCTATGGGAAGAAACAATCAAAACGAGAACCAATAATCGCCAACCAACAAACATGCAGGAGAAATTGGAGATGGATTGGACACTCGCTGAGGAGACCACTAGGTGACATCGCGCGTCAAGCCCTCGAGTGAAACCCGAAAGGAAAGCGGCGTGTGTGACATCCAAGGGTGACATGGTGGAGATCGTGTGAAGAGGAGTTGAAACGGTATGTATGGACTAACATGGATGCAGGTGATTAGTACAGCAGAAGCAAGATAGAAGCAAGTGGAGACGTGCAGTTGAAACCCTATGTTCCAACTGGAACCCAAGGGAGCAGTAATAATAAGCTACTCAGAACTGGATAAATACCCTGCTGATGTCACTTCCAACTGCGTTTATGAATTTACATGCACTTGCTGGAGCAAGTACAATGGAAGAACAGAAAGAAAGGCTTTTATCCGGTTTTGTGAACATATTCCAAGTAACCTGTGTCTGAAAGGAAGCAAATATTCTTACAGTGCAATTACGACACATATTGTTGATACAGGACATCTCGTAGAGATTTCTAAATCCTTCAAAATAATAAATAGACAAAGGACAGCAAATTTACTACGATTTCCCAAAGCCGTTGCAATCAAATGCTTCAAACCAACCAGATTTATGCATACAGAAAGAGAGTGTGATTAACGTCTTGCTCCCTTGGCAACTGAATTTTGATTTTGATTACATAAGTTAGTCACCTAATTCAGTCATCTCAATTCACTGAACAAATCTCAATCTTAATTAACAAGCTTACCTTGTAACCAGAAGGTCCTGGGCTCGAACCCCGGTGGGTGCACGCTGATGAAGAGCCCTAAACTAGGCTGACGAAGCAGCTGCCCAGTACCCCCAGGTGGTTTTCCAATGGTTCTGTAACCAATGTCAGCTCCTGATGGAATCCTGTAACAAATCTCAATCTTATAAACTTTAACCACTTTTGTTTTTTGAGTTGCTATGTGAACAAGCTACAAGCTAAGACTGCTCTGTTAATTAATTTTTTCTGTTTTCTGTCTTACCCCTCCCCCCTCTTTTCAACTTTGAAAGCGTATAAATTGATGATGAAAACTTAAACTAAAAATTGTAATGTTTTCTTTTTGGATGCGTCAATCTCTTCTCTACTACCACTCAAACAATAAAGTATGTTATTACGATCGTCTATACAACCACTGTAATTTCAGGTAGTCAATGGCAGCTGATGAGAACCTGTGAAATAGATTGATGATGGTATCATTTTATACTGCATATTTCGTCTTCTTTTCTTCATCAAAACTTATCATGAGAACCGAATGTATGAAATACAAAGTTTTTTGCAGAATAATCTCATGCTCGGTAATTGACTGCAGAGTGGATGAAATTCCCTGGGGTTCTAGTGCGAAGTCGTGACCACTGGGGTCTATCAGGTCGACACTAAGAACAAATACTCGCCTAAAATCAAAAATCAGCAGAAGAATGGATTTATGAGTTGGCTGGTAAGTCGGATGCTAGTGGTCGGATGATCTGCTTGCTCGATAGCCTTACAACAAGAAGTCCTAGGGTCGAGTCCCGGTGAGTGTGTACTGCCGAGGAGTCTATAACTAGTGTAAGAATAGGACTTGTGCACTGTGGTGGAGTATAATTCCATTTTGGATAAAATTCGGATTTTAGTCTGAGTGAATTGATTTTTCATAGACTCGAGTTTCTAATTCCCCTGTGGTTGTTCGCTTGACAAAGACGCCCAAAAATGAGAATTCGTTTTCGGATTCCTCTTCTCTTGTGGATGTGATATCTTTGAAGACGTTGTTCATTAGGCTGTGCGTTTCATCCAAATCGTTTCTTTTGATCATTACAAATGTGTCGTCTACGTAACGTATCCAGATTCGGGACTATGTTTTCGGGTCTTTGCATCACTGCTTCTGCAATCAAATTTGATATTGGCGATCCATCCCATGGGTGATCTTTTGACTTGTTCATATATTTAGCCGTTGAATTCGAAGTACGTTGTTAGGCATAGGTTTATGCATCCCATCCAGCTTGTGTGTGGTGCATTTTTGTTTGTTGTCTGTCTGGTGTCAACATAGAACTTGGCACCGAAGTGCACCAGTTCGAGTTGCCACCTTCCAAATAGCACACAGAGGTAGACAAGAAGATGAGTGAAGAGAATCAATAGAGTTTGACAAGTATGAGAGTGAAACAGAATGGGTAATGGTAGAAATGAATATGAAAGATTACAGAGACTGAATACATCTGCGCTGGCCATTGACAACGATTTTGAGCCATGTCACCTATTGTCTCCAGCCATTGATTCATAGAGTCCCGACGGCCCCAACCCGGAAGTCTGCATCTCCCTACCTGACTCAGTTTAACTGTCAAGGATTTCATGGATTGATGAGGCCATGTTTTTGTTTGGCCACCACTTACCCTTTTCCAACCTGCACCTGTATCAGCTAGTAGTGTCCGTCGGGGGAGGCGGTGGTTAGGCATGCGCAGCACGTGGCCTAGCCATCTTAGTCTATGTAACTTTATAGCCTCGTCGATTGATTTTCCCTCTTTTCCCAACACCCTACGCCTAACGTCAACATTACTTACCTTGTTAAACCACCTAACGTGAGACAGAGATCGCAGACATCTATGATCGAAAGCAGTCAGCCTTTTCATGTCTTCAACGCGTATTGGCCATGTTTCAGAGCCATAGACAAGAACGGAGCGAACTGATGAGCAGTACACACGTCCCTTGGTTGATAACCGGATGTCACGCCTACGCCAGAGATGGTGTAAGTCAGCGAAAGCAGCTCGAGCTTTTCGGATCCGTGCTGAGATTTCATCGCCAATCAGTCCGTTGGTGCTAATACAACTTCCCAAATAGGTGAAGTGGTCAACATGTTCTATCACTTCACTCCCTATCACTAAGTTAGGAGTTGACGTGGTCCAGTCCTGTAGCAGCATCTTACATTTTACAGGGGCGAATCTCATGCCAAACATAGGAAGATTGCTGCTCAAGGTGTTCAGAAGAATGTGCATTTTTTCAGCATCCTCCCCTAACAGGACTATGTCATCTGCATATTCTAAGTCCATAAGACTATTCCCTGGTAACAAGTCGATTCCTAAGCCGTTACGTTCAGTTAAGGATACTTCCATTAGCATATCTATGATGAACCTAAACAGAAATGGAGATAGTGGACATCCCTGTCGGACACCACTGGTTGTTACCAATTTAGATGACAATTCCCCATAAGCCCTTACACGACTATGTGAGTTTGAATAGAGTGCCTTGATTAGTGCAATGTACTTTCTTGGCACTCCCTTCACAGTCAGACATTGCCATTGTTTGTTGTGCAAGCGGAGTGTTCGTCGTTGCTGAGTAGTAATTGTTCCATGTTTTCCTCTTTTGCTAGTTTTTGTCCGATTGAGGTGTATAATGCTGTGACGTCGAAGGATATCATTAGTTCTTGTTCATCTATTTGGATGCTTTTGATTTTCTCTAGGAATTAGATAGCAGGGTTGATAATGATATTCTTTTTGGTCGGCAATGAGTAGCTCCAAAATCCTAGGACACGGGAGATTCATTTGACTTCACTTCGTTATCTTATCTAGATGAGTGTACCTGCTGAATTCCAATCAGAGTGATAGCCTTCCACACAAGACTCAGACTGTGCACCGACTGTTTCAAATAATGTAAGACATAATAACAACTACGCTGCTGGGTCACGAGAAATGCCATTATTATTATTGTTATTATTATTATTAATATCCTTTTCGATACATTCATCCTCTTCTGGCTCTACAATTATGTATATATATATATATATATATATATATATGATTTCAAACATCACACTGCATCGTGGTTAAGTAGAGGACAAACAAAATCCATTCGCATAGCGCTATTCTATGTCATCTTGTGGATACAGAACACAAGATTGATATTAACGAGGCAGCTTTCAAAGTCGTCTGCCACATACCAACAAATCTTTACCTCCCCTTAAGAGTTCATCTATTACACATATTTCTGAGAGTAGCTGTGGGGATCCACATTTAGAAGCTTGATTTATGCATCCAAAAGAAGTTAGTTCAGACACC